CTTCCGATGGCATTGTCTAAGCAGCTTTCCATTTCACTCCTGGTTCCATCCATTCTTGCCAGAGTTGGGGTCCCTACCATCTTGACTGCCAGCCCCAGCTACTCTCTTGATGGGAGTGCCAGTTCTGCTAGTTGCGTACGGAATGTGAGGGGCATCCAACCAAGCTGTGATACTTCTAAACCTCCTTGTTGCATTGGGTGCAGAGTGCAGCAGGTACAGAGAAGCAGTCTACTACAGGAACTCAGCAAATTTCATGGGCTCAACTATAGCAGCGGACCAGACGAGGAGGAAAAGATTCTTTTTTTAAAAAAACTTGATTAAAGTATTATCCTTTCTAAAGCAGTTTGTTAGAGCAGTAGTGAGTTATGTTTCTAACTTTCCATAAACTCTCTGTATCTGAGGTACAGGTGTGTTTGCTGTCTGTGCAGAAGCTTCTCAGGTGCTCAGAGAGGTTCTATCCTCATTGGTTTGGTGCTTCTGAAGGCATTTCAACCTGGCATAAGCACAAGTATTTTTTGTTTGGAGGGACATTCTGCAAACAGCCATTATTCTCCCTTTGCCTTTTTGAATATTTTAGGAATAATATCACATGTTAGGACTTCTCCCATAAACAGTTCTGCATGGAAAACTGTAGAAAAATGAGATTGCGAATTTAGAACAAAAGCTTCCAAAAGCACATACTGAGACATCTGCGGACAGTCAATTGTCAAAAAAAAAAGGGGGGGGAGGAGGATATTCAGTAATAAAGAAAATTTGTCTCATGACAATAATAAAATTGCCAGTAAATGACATCTTCTCTAATAAATTTTAGTTCCCCAGAACTGCATTTATCTCATGTATTGACACATCACAATTCATACACATATCCACACCACAGGGTGTGCCATTCTGTGCTCTGGCAGCTTGTAATGAATCCTTCTCTTTGGAAAAAGAACTAATTTGTTTTGGTTTATTGTTGTTGTGGCCATGTTATCTCGGGCAGAACTGACGCTGAATTCCATCAACCTATCTTTCTTCTGCTTGTACGATTTCTGCAATTTATTGTAATTTTTTCCTGTGGGAAGTGTGTCAGCTTGATATTCCAGTTTTCTTACGGCTGTCAAACTTGTCCATGCCTTTTGGACTAGCAGGTATTCTGGAATCTGCTCTGTTGTGCTATATTGGAGGTCCATATGAAATATCCCACCAAAAATGGTTGAAGTAGTTGTTTCTGTGGCTGGAAATTCATTGTATGCACCCTGCGTAAGGCTGGAAGTGAAGAGTTCTGAAATCATATAGCTTAATAAAAGGATGACAGGGGGTTTTGTTTGTGAAATATTGATGGCGTTTCCCATGAGCCATTTAAAACTCAACTGATGTCATAAATACAAAGAGCTGGACTTAAGGACACTATTTCTGATGACCTCTCCTAACACTGATAAGCTTTTCCCAAGAGTTCAGCATTTAAGAGGTTATATTGGAGCAGAGATTTTTTTTTTAAGTGCTCTGAAGGTTACCATCCTTCCAACCCTATGGGTTTTGTCTTATTAGTATCTCGTTTGGGCTGTTGTCAGTCTCGATCATCACAAATCACTGCAGCTTTCTGGCTCCATCTCATCTTTAGGATTTTGGAACGCTATGTCCAAGATCAGATTCCTGGTGCGACAGTCGTGGTGGAATCCATCGGTGCGCGGAGGTTTGGAGATGGGTACTCTGAAGAGGATTACACCAAGTCTGACCTCATGGTCTACGCAATCGACCCGCAAACAAATAGAGCTATAATGAGGAACGAACTTTTTAAGTAAGTATGTTATTTGTTGCTTTTCCTGTATTTCTGTGGACTGTTTTGAAGCCTGTTGGTCTGTCTCTGTTAGCAAGTGGTTCACCACAACTGAAACAGAAAACTATTGAAGCAGTTGGTGCATGTCCCTACACCTGCCCTCTGTGCAGCTTGGGACTTTACAGCTTTACTAGGTGCAGTCCATTCCCTTGAGCTGAATGGCCCCTGTACGCGTGATTTAGACATTGTTGCCATGAGAATTCGCATTACATTTGGTTCACCCTGTGGAAGAGCTTCCAGTTTAAATTCCTCTTAAGGAATTTACTTACTGTGTACCAAAACCTCTCTGTGATCTCCAAGCAAGGGTTTTGGTGCTTCAGTTATTGACCTTCAGGCTTTCTGCAGTTTCCATCTGGAGCATGTCTCTTTTCTTTTCTGTGGAAACCGAAGAAGAAGAAAGGGCAGGGGAAGGAAGAGAGGTGGTGTGCACTTAGTCTGAAGCACAGACATCAGGGCGTGACCCAGGTGTATATCTACATGCAGAAAATCAGTAGTGCTGACAGGTCCCCGTGAGCTGTGCAGACAGATCTGCATGGGCCTGTCCCAGCAGCTGCTAGAGGAGATAGGGTACAGCGGTAGACAGACCACTTATATTCGTAATTTGATGTTGTCTTGCCTTTTCAATCAAATTCCAAATTAGCAGTTGAATTCCTGTGTCACATAAAACATAAGAGGGTTTTTTAATTGACTGATTGTACTCACAGCATGTTGGCAGTGCCTGGGCCAGCCCTGGTCACTGCAGCAGGGTGGTTTGGTAGGGTGCCCTTCTGCCTGGGGTTTTGCCCCTTAGCAGAGCTGTGGTGGGCTATCACCCTGGCACGCTGCTGCCTTGGGGGACAGCAATAACTCTGCTCTCTGCCTGCATAAGAAGAGAAGCCAGAGCTTACATGGGTAAGGAAATGAAATTAAGGTAATCTCTTTACATGTTTTTTTTGAGACATCACCTGTGCCAAGTAGGTTCTAAGACAAAATTAGTATCTCAACCCATTCAGCTGCCGATGTATCAATATGACTGTAGAATCATTTTGTTAGAAACTGTATTTTTGTCTTTCAGCATTCTGCATATGATTCAAAGCAATAAAAATGTAAATCAGGCTCTTCTTCTAAAGCAGCCACTATATTTGGGGGTGTTTTTGCATGTGTTTCACCTTTGATTTTGCTTTTTATCTTGGTGAAAACTAGACCAGACTGTTCAGTGGGGGTATAAAGCAGCACGTCAGTCAGCAGCCTAAAAAGCAAATGGCTGTGAGCCATCTCGGTGGACTGTGATTGAAAAAGTGCTTGTTCTCCCAAGCTCTTAATTTAGTACAGATGAATTATAGCATACTAAAGCTCTGGATAGATTCAGAGTTTATAGGTTGGAAAAGATCACTGTGATCAGTCTGATCTAGTATAATAAAGACCACAGGAACTCCCAGAATTAATCCTGCTTTGAGCATGTCTTTCAGCAAAGCAACTGCTCAAGAAAATCCAATCAACTACAACCTTTGTGTTGTTATTGCAGGATAATTATTTTTATTGTCAAGAATTAGTTGGGTTTTTTTAATTTGTCTAGATGCAGTCATACAGTTTTATTATAACTTTAGGTGCTAGATTGATTGGTGCTTTTCATTTCTGGTTCATTTAAGGACTAGGCTTATGATTACATCATCCTCTTAATTTTTTTTCTTGAGAAGCTCCTTGACCTCTGCACTCTGGGCTGTTTTAAGTCTTTTTTAATCACTTACAGTTTTCTCTGAACCCTCTCCAGTCTTGCAGCATCACTTTCTGAACTAGGAATATACAAATCACATGCAGTTTAGCAGTGGTAGCTTTCAGAGCGCTGGCAAATAAAGAGGCAATACAACCTCCTTCCTTCTGGTGGCTGTTTTTTGTTTGTTGGTATCTCCATGGTCAGTCTTTTTAGGTTTTGGTGATGCACCTGGGAGTTTGTGTTTACCTGTCCACTGCCAGAACTGCTGATCATTCCCAGAATGCTGTCTCTTGTGATTTTGTTCCCAATTTTATTAAAGAGTGGAAGTTAAGGAAACCTGGCAGGAAGCCAGCAGAAATCCCTGATAGATAACCCTTTCTGTCTAAGGAAGTGCCAGTAAATCTGCTTGCAGTCCTCCTATAAGTTACTGTTGTATCCAAACCCACTCCCAAAACTAGTCTACTTAAAATGTATCTTACTGCCTTACACCCTGACTATCTACTGATCCCTCTTTATCTTTACATTTCCACTTCTGCAGTTTGTAAATTCATTGAGGTCTGTGGTTTTTTTCCAGTCGTAGCCAGTTTAGAGTATGGCCAAAGTGGGATCCCACTAGAAATGCTCAAGGTCAAAGGGCATTATTCAGTGCTGACCAGGTTCAGAAAATTCATATGACCTTGATGACAGTTGAAAATCCTGACACCCTTTTACTCCTCACTTTGGAAAACTTTCTGTAAATCTACTATTACTAGTATATGAAAGTGAGCTAGTGTCTGTGCATGGCGGCAGTTAGTGCTTTCAACTCCATAAAAAGGATCTTTCTGATGCAATCTCTCTTCATGGTTAGGAAATGTGTCCCTCTTCATTTTGGTGCACTTTGAAAATATATCAATTTTTTTTAGAGATGTTATGTGTGTCCAGTGAAATACACAGAACAGAATAGAGTTAAGATAGGTTAAATGGCAGTTTTTCAAATGTGAAAGGAAGGTTATCAGCTTAGAAGCAACCTCATTAAAATGCTCCATGTACCTAAATACTCAGATTTTTGGGTTTTTTTGGTTGTTTTTTTTTCTCCTTTTTCTCTTCAAAAGCTTTTAAATATTTAAATGAGCAAAATCCCAGGGAATGCTTTCCTGGCTTCAGGTTAGAGGTGAGTGTCAGCTTACTTATATGAGGAGAGAAATGAAATGAGAGTTTTGTAGCTCAACATCGGGAGTTAACAAGTTTTTGCTAGCAAGTGGGTGAACCTCCAAAGATTCACGTCAGCTTACCCAGATCTAAAAAGAAATTCCTTCTGTGACCATCTTTCTTGGAGTTTTGATCTTTAGAGGGATGTCTCAGTGTTCTTCCTACCCCACTCACAGGACACGGTAGCAATGGTTGTCCCTTCATTGGGAAGAGATTGCCAAGAGTCACAGCCAATCTTCTGCCAGCCAGGAATTGTCTCTGGATCCTAGAAGAAAAGAGATCAGTAGGAGAAAGGATCATTTAATAAACTGGATATGATGGGAGAAAGGTTAGAAAGTGAGAAAGATTTGGAGCCCCCTGTTTTAAAAATTTAATTAGCCATAAAGAATATAAATTTAGCGAAGGTATTTTTCAAGTGTTCAAAAATTTCATGATGTATAGAGAACTGTACCAACGGCACAGATTTAGCATGTGAATTCTGCCAGCTGTGATTTTAACACACTTAGACAATTATTGTGTATTGGAAGATAACTGTGGCTTTTCTTCAGTGAGCTTTTTGGGAACACTCTGCAGTGTTTCTGCTTACAAAACATCGTGGAAGCCTTGGCTTTAACAGAGTTTATGTTAAACTTGGCACTGTTTGAAAAGAATTATCTGTGAGGGTCTTTTAAGGAATGGGGCGGGGGGGAATAAATTGAGGACAGCGTGGAGCAGAGCGACCTGTTCCCCTTCGCAGGCAGAGTGCTGCTGGGATACGGACAGATCTTGCTGGTGACTCACCCTGGTTGGTGCTGGCCGAGCAGGGTTGGGGGCCCAAAGGTGCTTGGCTTTACACTGGAGCTGGGAGGAAAGGACAGTCATGACAGCTAATGCCCATCAGCAGCTGAGCAAAGTCCCACTCGTGACCATCTACAGAGCTGCATTTCTACAAGAAGTAAACCCCACTAAACCAAAGCTAATGTTTGAGGCTCCCATAACCACGTCTGGGCGATGTCGCTCCAAAATGTCCTGTCATGTCCAACAGTCATTTATGAAATGAAGAGATACAAGGAGATGTAGCATGCTCTGGCTGTGCTGGATCAGTGTTGATGTGCACAATGACAGCGCATGCACAGACTGTGCCAGGTTCACTACCAGGCTATTTTGAATGCGCTGCTTCACATCCCAAAGTCCCAAACGAGTCACCCAATCCCATGTATTTGCATTCAAGCAAAATGTTTGGCTGGAAAGCAAAGGCATGATTTAGAAGTCATGAACATAACAGCCACACTGTGTTCCTCACTGCCAGCTGGGGAAAACCCATGTGTCTCTCAAGGTATGCCGATTTTCCCCTATCCTATACTCTCTAAGACTGATATACAACAAGAGATTAATACTTTTCCTTAGGACTGTTATGACTGATTGCCTGATATTTTTCTTAATCAGGAATCTGTCTGGTTACACCAAAAAATGGATCTGAATAGTAACTGTGCTTTGTTATTTCCTCCCTGTACCACAAATTTCTAAAAGGCTTTGAGGCCACTTAGCCAGTTTTACAGACTAAAATGATCAGCCTCCTTTTTTGTCTTTTATATGAAAGAGGGTTTGATTTATTGGAGCATAAAAACCAGTTGAATCCAGAAAATTTCTCCTGCATATATTAAGTAGAAAATGTCCACCATTAAAAATAAAATGCTTACCCCATCTGAATCTTTTGCACAATATGTCATGTTTCATCATGGAGCAAATGTGCACGGTTGAGTTACGAACCTGTTAAAATAGGGTTTGTCAAGAAAATGCTAACAGAATTTTAATGGGGAGACTGTTAAAATCATCCAGAGATTTAATGCTGTCCTCCTTGAACGCTTTTGCAGACTCAAAGGACGTAACATGCACCAGTGACATCTAGTGTACAACAAAAGAATCAGAGCTCTGTTCAGACTCGCTTTATGTCTTGTGACCCATCATTGCAGGTCTTCAAGCTGAGAAAAGGGATTTTTGTTCCAATACCAAGAAAATGTCTTGCAGAAGAAATCAAGGAATTAATTGTGGATATCAACAGCACATACCAATACAAAGGGAAATGATTCTTCAGAACACCTTGGGTTGCTTTTTGTGAGAGTGTAGGTCTGTGATTGAACAGCCACTGCTCTTCTTTGAAGTTAGTATCATGAAACCAGCACCATTTCATCCTTTGGACTGAGATGTTCTGCATGTGATGAGATCCAGCTAATATGTTACGCACACAGATCAGAGTGCATTCTCCCTGAAGTTCCAAAGAAACCAGGGACAAACAATGCTGTGAGGGTTTTTCAGTAAATTAATTTGAGAGGAAATCAACTGTAAGAAATGAACGCTCTTTAAGAAATGGTCTTTTTGTAGTATAATTTCTGTCTCATGATCAGACTAAGGAAATAAAAGCTATTTCAGACTTCCTTTAGACACCCAGAATTTATATGCAGAAATCCTTTCAGAATATTTTTTAACTGTTGGTTTTGGGGAGTTTTTTGTGTTATTTTTTTATTTATTTTTTTTTTATTTCAACAGTTTTAACTTGACTTTCTTTCCAAAGAAGAACCACTGTACATGTAAAGGTCAGAGCTAAGATCCAGCAGGATCCTCCACCATCCTAATGGGTGCCTCCCACTTCCATCTTTATAGCTGGAGCCTACTACTTGGCAGCTTGTGAGACAGACAATCCTCACTTCAAAAATGATCCAAGAAGTTTTATTTTCCTTTGGAAATTTAAGCCTTGGCCAAAATATTTTTTCAAACTCCTGAAGTAAATGTCTTTAGCAAGCATACTGTTTGCTATCAAAAAGTCATTCAATAGAAATTCTGCAGTCATATGGGAAATGAGGACATTTGATTAGGATTTACATTTGGTGACATGTCTATAAACTTCCAGTTAGCAGATCAGATACTGACCTTCTACTGCATTTGCTTTTTCACGGACTGTGCTAGTCCTTTGCTTGGTAACTGTGTTCCAAGTTCCTCGCACGAACGTAAGACTGACATTATTATAGGTTGCAAGCAGTGACAGTAGTGCATGGTTTCTGGTTAGCTAATACCTAGTTTTGCCTAGGAGCTGACTCTGTCTTAACAGTGTGCCCTGTATGAAGCCGGTGTTTTTCCTGAGAGCTAGATAGATAGCCTATTGTTCCTGTAATTAGTAATGTTAATCAAGATTTAATGTTAGTCGGGTTCTGGTATCTGGCAGTGTTTGGAGAACCCCTGAAGCTGAAATTACAGTTTATTATAAGCATTTAGTGCTTTTCCTTTTAGAAGAGGTGTGAAACTCCAGAAGAAAAGGCCTGCATCTTCTGAAAAAAAGAAAAAGAGGAGGCAGTTTACAGTATCTTGTCTCTCATCTTTTGTGACTTTAAGGAAACAAGTACAGATGATGTAGCATTTCCTAAAATGTTATTGTTTTCCTCATTACAATTCTCCTGCATCTCTCAGGAATGTTGTTACAGATTCCACCCAAAAATTGCCATGATGGAGAGGATGCTGTCAGGTAGCCTGAAGCCAGTGAATAAACTCACTGAGCATTGTGCCAGACATTGAGAGGGCACGTGCTTCATCTGCTCTGGTGTTCACTCCCACTGGAGATGAGTTCATCTGATCATTGTCCCTCTGTGTTTTCCTCATGCCAACAGTCATGCTCTAAGAGGAAAGCCTTACTCAAATAATTTGATACATAGTACCAGCACTGCAATCTAAGAAAACAGCAGAGACATGGACGCTCGCAGGACAGAGCAGATGGGAGAATGAAGTTCAGAATTGATGCAGCTGGGGGGAAGGGGGCGGGGATTAATAAAAGCATAGCTTTTCCAAATCTCTCTGCTTTTTAATATTGAAAGGGAAGTCAAAAGGGAACAAACTCTAGGCTATCCCTCCAGCTGAAGAATTTCCCTAAGAAGCTAAGGAAATTCCTCTAAAAATTACCTGCTTTTAGAGTACCATCAAGTTGATCTTTAGGCCAGAGTGGTCTCTGGGGATGTGTGCAGAAGTTAATCCTCTGCAACAGACCACTGAAGGAAAATGCACAAAGCAAGCCATTTGCCATGCTGCTCTCGATGACACAGAGAACTTTTTGCCCCTAGAAATTAGGATAAGCTTCAGCTCACCTCTCCTTTTCAGTGTTTAAACTGTGTTCTGGTATTAAGTACATTGGGGTTATCACTGATATAGGGATTACAGGGAATTACTAATATTCTTAAGCACATGAAGAGCGATGTGCTTTATCAGAACACAGCTATTAACCCAACTATGTAGTAATTCAAACACAGTTAATGAACTTGGCTGTAACAGTTTTCTTTTGACCTTGAAGGTTCCTGGATGGCAAACTGCTGGATATCAATAAAGAGTTTCAGCCATACCTGGGGCAGGGGGGACGCATCCTGGAGATCCGCACCCCAGACGTGGTAGCGAATGTCAAGAAGCAGGCGCAAGCTGTTGGCTACACGGAAGGCGCGTTACTTGCTCTGGCCGTCATAATCATCCTTTGCTGTATGCCAGCTATTTTAATAGTTATGGTCAGCTACAGACAGTAAGTACCCCTCCCCCTTTTTGTGGTAGCAATGTTGTAGTAGGGATGCTACATTTCTTAGCAGAACTGCTTTGAAAATTATCTTTCATTGCAAGGGAATTATTATACATTATGCAAGGAAAATATTATATATGAAAATACCAGTATTTTTAATTTCTGTCTTATCACAAGAGTTAGTCAGTGTTTGATGTGGGCTGTGCGTGAAAAGAGGAAATGCACAGGAAGTGCATCTTGCTGTCCTTTCTGAAGTTGTGGTACAGTAACTGTTTTAGAGTACGTGCTAAACAAAAGCCAGATGTTTGAAATACAAGTGCAGATTCAGAGCTGAATTCCACACCAAGAAAAAAAAAAAAAAGAGGAAAAAGGTGCTGTTTCATTAAATGAATCAAAAATCAAATTGTGTAGCTTGGGCAAAATAAGAGGACTCAACTTTTTTTGTTTAAATCCTAAAACACTCGTGGTTATAATTTTTCCCTAGCTGCATGCTTCTTAATTGCAAGTGCTTCATGAAGAATTGATTTTGTGCCATTTTAGCGCTATTTAAAGCAGCATACACCAGAGAGAACCTTCTTGATATTTCCACTCACCTCTCATAGACACAAGAGTTTTAGGTAATTGGGCTAAGAGACTAATTAGAGAATCAACATCACTAACAAGTTCCTCGAAACTAAGCCTTTTCATGTCCACTCATATTTAAAATCAATGCATTTGGACTTAAAGGCTGTATACTTGTTCTTTAATTTCTTTTCATGAAAGATTTCTAATTCCACGTGCATCCTCTAAGCACTCAAAGAATTACCAAGCATTACAAAATTAAAATAGAAATAATTCTGTGCATCTTCCCCAGTAAATGGGTATATTAAACTTCAGCATATGCTGGTCTGTACCTCCAGATTTTGTATCTTCATTTTAAAATTGGTGAACTACCTGGAATAGAAAAAGCCCTCATCATGGAAAACCCCTGCTCTGCAGGACCATGTAGGAAGGGGTTCCCAGAGCCCTGCTTCGCTTTTTTGTTTGCTTGTTTTTCTTTTTTGTTTGTTTTGTTTCTACAAAAACTGCTTTGGCATCTGCTCCCTTCATGGTGCTGAGGGCAATGAAGCATCAGTGCCTCTGCAGGCTCCTGCTGCAGCATTGCATCAGTCTGTGGGAGGAGAGGGCATATATGGAAGAGCTGATATCCATGTATTGCAGTAGAGCAATTACAGTCTGCATGCTGCAATCGATGTAATGTGGTACAGTACGCCAGGTGAGATTTACACTGCGTTTTTCCTTCCTGCACTGCAGTTAGGAGTTAGCAAACCACTGTGTTAGTCATTTTGAAAGTGTATCCTACAGCAGCCTGCCTGAGAGCACTTTCCTTCATGACACCAGAAAAACAGCCAAGGATAGCCATTTCTTGGTGGTTACTGCATGGTTTTAGATTATATTTACATCCTTTTTTCTCCAAACAATGTGGGTCAAAGGAAAAAGTCCTTTTAAAGGAGTTTAAAAGAGCTTGACAAACCCGCACCATTGGGATGGCAGCACATCTCAAAACTGCTTTCCTTCTACCAGAATTGTATATAAAATTTGCTTCCAGTGGAATGCTACTGAACCAGTGCAACCTGGTTTTGTTACCTGAATTGCCTGTTTCTTTAAGAACTCTAATAGCACTATTTTTCCTTGACATCCATTAAATTATCAAAATATTATAAATTTCTCTTAAGAGCTGTGATGAATCTGCCTAAAATCACATTTTTGTTGTCTAGAAGTATAACTAGGATTTGGATTTATAGCAGGCCAATGTGAATAAACTATACTTTAACGACAAAAGTATCACTGAAGAGTGTCAAAGACAATAAAAGGAATTTTAGTGTTAATATCAACACCAAAAGCTATCCTGAGCCTTATGTTTGGTTTTGCATTATGGCCTTTTTTTCTCCTTTTCAAAAGGAGTTTCAGTATTTTTGCTGATAACATTCTGGCAAAGTAGGTGCTCCAGTCTGCCACTGCATATAGAGATTATAGCCAAATAAATGTAACTGTCATACAGCACATATAATGGAAATGTTACGATTTTCTCACTGTTAAAACTTTTCAGGTGCAGTAGGTCCATTTTTTAGTGTTTTCCAGGTCAGTGATCAGCTTACTAAATTTTGTAAAAATGTTACTGAAAAGAAAACTCATTTAATTTATAAAATTATCAAAGTGCAGCCTAGTGCCTAAATTTATGATTTGTAAACAAACCAGAAACTATCATTATTCTTTTCTGTTCAATAGTGTCTTTGAAATGCACTACCCAGTACAACCTCATAAGGTAACTAGAAATAATGTATTATTTACTTATCACCAAAGACCAGTATCTTCTAAATAGCAACCAAAAATAATACTCCTTCACTAGTGAAAATGTTTTCTAGAGCATTCTTGACACATGTTAAAATGAGAAAGCAGTTATAAAAATGCATCCCTAGTAGTCCACCTGTTAAAGAAATATCATGGGGTGTATTCGTGTTTTCGTGTCTTACTCTGTTCTCTGTGTGTGTGTGGCAGGAAGTCATTTTCTGTCAGCACAAAGCAGTTTTCTCCACTGTAATTCATATTTATGCTGACTGTGAAATTGTTTCAAGAGTATCATAAATAGCAGTTAAACACTGTTCAGCTCTGGAAATTATGATTCTTTAAACATATCATTAATTCTGTGATTTTATGTGCGGAATAATTAAGTAGCATCTAGTTTATTACTCCTATTAGGTTCACTGTTTAGGACAATTGTTGCAGACAGAACTTATTTAACCTTCCTTTTTATCTCTTTATCTTTTTTTGCATAACAAAACAGATTCAAAGAGTAAGTACTTAATTTTCAGATTTGTTTCTAACAGCTTGTATAGGAATACTGACAACCTACCAATCTTTATTTTTAAGAAGGGGCACTTGACATCCAGCAAAAGTTACTTCCTATACTCCAGCTTGATCCTGAACACCTTGTGTGGTGGGGTTAAAAGTTACTTACATGGCTACTCAGTGTATTTTGTTATTGTGTGCTAGCACATGTTAAGGATACTGTGGTTCAGGAGATCGCCTGTTTCCTGCAGGGAAAAAAGTTACTATTTCCATGTGTTTGGCATTCCTCAAGCAAGCAAGTGCCTGTCAGGCTAGAGTTCATAGAGAGAGCTCCCTAGGCACCGTCGGGTACTGACCACCCTCAAAACGAAAGCCAGGTAGATCAGTCATGGCACCTCAATGGCACTTCTCCCGTTACACATCTGTGGGACCACAGGATTTGTCTTCTAGATAGAAAATAGAAATCTGTTTCCGACTGAAAGTAATTTTTTCAGGAAAACTGTTAATTGAGACAGAAATTTCCCAGCCAACGAGTTGTAAGTGAGAACTTAAACTTTGCCAGAGACTTTTTTTGTATTTAAAATTACAGTTTCTTGGCACTTGAATGGAGCACTTGACCAAAGTGCTTATTCTCTCCGCCGTTGGCCTTGGGCAGCCAGAACAGATAAATCTCCTGATGAGAGCAGTGTCAAAGCTAGCACATAGCTTATTTCCTGGGAGATACCTGCTGCGTCAGTGACGTACTGCTGGTCAGGAGGTTTCTGTCCAGGGGGAGCTCTGGGATTCCACCAAGAGAGAACTAATAATGGAAAGCTGAAAAAGCCAGGATAAGATTGTCATGTTACTACTTTTCTTCGAAGAAGTTAAAACATAGGGATGTTTTGAAAACTGCAGGAAAAAACATAGAAAACTTAATATCTCTGCTTATTTGGTATAGAGTGTTTCTAATGAGTATTTCTCCTTCCCTACCTGGCTTACTAAAGGCGACAGGCTGAATGTGCAAAGACTGCAAGAATCCAGATGGCTTTACCAGCAGGCAAACCAGCAAGCACCGCTGCCAATAACCTCTATGAAGAGCTTGGTGACAGCACCATGTAAGTATGCCTTGTGCTACGTCAATAAAATTGTTAGTGACCGAAGCCACGTTTCACTTTCCAGGGATATCGCTTCATGCAGTCTGTGTCAAAGTCTTTTCTTCAAGAAGAGGTCTTTCACCAGCGGCTTGGGGTTCTCAAATATCCAGAAAATAGAAGGGCTCTGTAAGGAGGAAAAAAAACAATTTAACCTGCCAAAGGGAATTTCTTGTAGTGCATGGGAGAATCTTTTTAAGTTGGCAGAAAGGCAGGGTATAACCAGATGTTTTTTTCCTAGAGCAAGAGCCTACAACAGGGCATTGGCACCAGAGTGAGCCAGGACTGGGCTCCTTTAGTGCCTTTGCAAATCCAGACCAGTATGCCACGTTTGTCAAAGCTGTTGACTAAACACATCCAGTGAAATTGCTGCCCCAAAGTCCCCACTTGCTGTAGTAAGAAATATTCTGCTGGGTCAAGTTGGGTTTTTTGCTCTAAATTTGAAGCTGTTTGAATATTGACATTGAAGACAAAGGAACTATCAAAATAGAGAAACCACAGGCAGTTCAATGAATATATCTTTTACCTATTATATGCTCATAAAATAATAATAGGGCAAAGATGCCTACCTTTTCATGCTTCTGTAAATCTGAAGTTTATGGACTCCAACAACAATTTAACTCTCAGTATGAGAATATTACAGCGGAGAATAACCAGTTAGTATTTGTATCATTCTGGGGGGTTTTGTTGATAAGCTTGCCACGCTGTGTTTATATTTTAAAACCAAGTAATGCTGAAAAGCGTAGCATTGATAATATGTTTGGAGGCAGGTAGGGAGGGAGAGCTGCTGGTGTTGTTGAGAATTGCCCAACTTCTGCTCTATTTTCAAGCATTATTTGTTTTGCTCAGAAAGTTGAAATTTTCCAGCTGCTGTGATTTTGTTTCTAAACTGTTCAGGAGGCTTGACAGAGCCTATCACTGCTGCTTTAACTCTTGGCCATCTGAGTGCAGTCTCTGCATTTGAAACCATTCCAGAGCTTGAGCTTTTCTGTGTAAATAGAGGAGCTGTACTTGCAGCAAGTGTAGCTTCTCCTAACTGCTGAATTTTTCCCGTGCTTTTTCCTTTGGGAAGTGTTACTGCTTGAGCTGGAAGGGAGGAAAAACACATGTTCAACAGTAGCATATAGTTGCACTTTTGAATGTGAGCACTTCTGCTTGTGAACCACATGAGATCACATCTCTACACTTAGACACGCAGTGAGGTGCCCTGCTGGATAAAATTCTGATTTCTTTTGCATTTAACTAAATTTCTACTGAAATTAATGATTCACTTACTGGCAGTGATATAAAGCTGATTATCTGTGGGAACTGGATATCCCAGTGGATGAATCTGCATTTTGTACTGATTAATACCTTATGTTAAATGCAGAACAAGCCCTGTTGTGCTGGGTTTTTACCTGCAGTGGTTTTTTTATGTTTTAGTACTGCAACATATAGGTGCAAATTTACAGATTTGCAGTATTGACTTTGAGGCTTAGATTTATATTCATTTTGAGTGCAGTAGTTTTCATTGCACCAAAAGAGATGCCATATTTGGATTATTTTCTCTCAGATGTCTTTGCATGCAGCTAAGATGTACTTATATCCATCATGCTAAGGAACTGATTAAACATAAATTAGTAAAAATCCTTACAAGATAAATGGAGATCCTTAGGATTTTAAAGAAAATACCATGCTTCAATAAAAATAATTGCAAGTTATTGTCTTTTTTTTTTCTGTCAAATATTTGATTTCAAGGCACTGTTATGCCTTAGGAAATTATTTGGGAAATTCCTTTTACTAACATTTTTTGTTAATTTTAATACAATATTTCCTGTCTTTAGTTGTCCCAAGTCATCTTTCATTTGCGGTGCTGCTTTGTGTCTTGTTTTTTTTTTAATTTAGTATTTATAGCAAATGAAATGGAACTAAGCTCTTCAGTTTTAAATCTGCCTTGTCTCATAATTTTCATTTTTCTTTGTCTTTGGATACATAGGCATCAGTAAGTAAGCTCATTTCATTGTCTTAATATTTGTAGCTAGTAGAAACTCTAGTTAATTTTCCTTTCAGTAATTCCCATTAAACCTAGCAATCTGAAACTCATATTTTATTTGTCCATTGATCAAGTACAGGAAAGACATTTACTGTGAAGTTTCAATACTTCTTTAGCCTTTTCTCGGCAGTAGAGATGAAGTGTGATTGCTGAACTTGAATGGTATTATTTCTAAAGCCAAATATTTCTACTACCTTAAAAACTCCAAACAAAACCAACACTGAGTGCATGCACAGAGATTTGCTTTTGGTTCGTGGAATTAAGATCTCACAATTGGATGCAAGCAAAATCTTTCATCTGCTATTTACAGTTCCTTGCAAAGCAGGTACACCTCTTTCAGTTTAGGGAAATGTGCTTCAAACTGCTGAGCAGATGTTTCTTACTGATTAAAATACCTATACCTAAACAGAAAAAGATTGCAGGATAACCTCATCCTTGAGAGGCGTCATGGGAAGCGAGGAACTGAGGAGCTTTTGAAATAATCAATTCCAGTAGCATCAAGGTTATATCATCTTGCATGAGCGTTCTACTGGAGGGTTTCCTTCAAGTTCAGAATCATTTATTTCTTCTCGCTGCTAAATAGACTGAGGGTGCTTGACCAACCTTAAAGCATGGTGCTTTAGAATGAAGAATTAGTTTATTATTAGTGTGAAGTCAATTATTTTTCATGCAGTTACATTCTGCCCAAAGGCAAGCCTTGGGCATACTGGGTTTTGGAGACCTGCAGTGTTTGGGGAGAGTTTATTCAGTGGTGTAACCCTCCGTGGCTTTGCTGGGTGCTATTCACAAACAGGAGAGCAATCCCTGTCCTCTGTGCAGTGATTCTTCCTGTCCTCTTGGATCCCTGTGACCAGGAGGAAGCTGTAATTTTCTCAGGGTGGGTGAGCTCCCAGTCAAAACAAGAAACAAAAGTTAAGAAGCAAATGTTTCATTACTAAATACAGACCTTCAGGGGACCTTTACATATTAAATAACTTAGAGGAGATTTAATATCTCTTAATTAACTCCTATCTAGTATCTAGTTATTTAAAATTCTCTTCCAGTTTTGCTAGGGAATGTTTAACCACCAGAGGTTAAATTTCCATTAATTTAGATGTGGTAATATTTTCTGAGAAATGAAAAACCAACACCAAAAAAGAGGGAGTAATCTAACCAAGAGGTCTAAAACTCCATCTTCCAGCATTCATGTAATAATGTAAAAATGTAATTTTTCCCCTTTTCTGCTTCTTAATAAAGCCTAACCCTTTTTTAATCTAAATTCTGAAGAATAAAACTCAAATTTTGTTAAAGAATTAGACTTTTTAACTTAGAAGGTTTTGTCAAAATATTGGACAGCTCTAAGTTGCTAAAAATAGTTTTATATGGTATTTTTGATTTTTATGTGTGCATGTAGAAGTCATTGCTACACTTTTAACCGCAGTTGCTTACCTGCAGAAAATAGGAAGGCTTTAAGTATGCCATTCAAAATGTGGAGTACCAGCATCAGGCCGAGGTAGTGAAGCTGTAAGTGGATTGTACAAAAGTGGAATGCAATCTTTACACCCCATTTCTATCATCATGTTCCCTTATGCCATCATGTGCTCACCATAGCCTAGCCTGTCTTACAGATACATGTAATATTTCCAAGAGTTTTTTAGAGTAGCTGTCCTTTTTAAGACTGGGGTATTTTTTTGTCTGTTTGTTTTTTCGTTTGCATCCCCATGATAGACAGCACATCTCTTTAGTTACAATAAATTTGTATATGGCAGTGATGGAAATGCGTTCTGATTCGGCCTTGTTGCTGACAAGAGTAATCTCTTTGAAAGGATAAGGGGGTTGTTTTTAACTCTATCCGACATTAAATTTGTCACAGGTTGAGGGGAAATAAGTTTATTTTTCAGCCCCAGGTAAGCATTATTTAAAATAGCTCTCTTAAGAGCACACTGTTCTAGCTGGCAGTTTGGGGACATTTCTTTAAAATAATGTTTATCTTAAAATCTTCTCAGAAGTTTGTAGTATTAAAAATATATGAGGAAAGTAGATTAATGGAGTATTCAGAGGTGACAGATAAATTCCAGAATATGGTGAGACATCCTACTTTTGGGGTAGAAATTCAATGTAATCCAACTGCAGGGGTTTTTCACTTGGATTAACGTGGCACAGAGATTAAATTCATACACATATTGGTATTTCTGTGCCAATATGTGTATTGTGAATGCAACAACCAGTGCTCAGCTTGGCAATTCTTTATGAATCAGTCTTGGAAGAATTGTCTTAGGACACTTGCATCTCAACTGAGTGGCTTCAGCTCCCCATACCATGATTCCATATTATCTCATAGAGAAACTGAATCACGTGACTACATAGCATTGATGTTTTGTGTCCCTGGGGAGAGAGGGTGCAGTATTGACTGATACTTTTGAAATCTAAGGGATTTTTTTAAGAGGTTAACTTATTTTTGAACTTTCCGAGTTGCTGAACACTTGTTTTGATTTTTCTTCCTCCTCAAGTTCTTCTCCCCTAAAGGAGATGTAAAAGTAAATGTCTTGCCTAGTAGTCCAGTAGATGTGGTCTTTCTGTTGGATAGTAGTAGTTTGCTAGAAGTAATTTAATGGCTCTGATTCATATCATGAGTTCTTTTGTTCTCTTTCATAAGTATCTATGTCCATGCATGTTTCCTCACGTGATTGTCTTCTTTTCTTTCAAGTCTTTTTCTTCTCTACCATTTCCAACAAAGCAGGGGAAAAAAGTCAGTCTTAGAAGAAGGAGATCGTCAGAGAGTTATAAGCAGCTTTGCTTCCCGTGCTATTGAGGCTCACAAGCAATCTAATATCAATGGATCACTGAAAAATAATCTCCCCAAATCCTCAAGTAACATTACTTTCTTATCTGATGAGAACCCATTAACTACTCAAAACCCATTATATGTGGAAGGTGTCACTCAAAGTCCGGC